AGAGGAGAGAGGAGAGAGGAGAGAGGAGAGAGGAGAGAGGAGAGAGGAGAGAGGAGAGAGGAGAGAGGAGAGAGGAGAGAGGAGAGAGGAGAGAGGAGAGAGGAAATATGAAGGTATGTTACATGGGTATGAGGTATTAGTCTCAGGCCAGTACCAAGAATAGCAACAAAGAAACGATAAAAATTTGGCACCTCTCCCCACAGAGGTAGAAGTTAAGACAGTCTCAGGTAAGAGATGAGAAGTGAGACACAATTCAAAATGTCACTTCCTTTTATCTTGTCTATATAACACATTTGGGGATCTGGTTGATGTCTTACAAGGTTGTATATACTGATTAATTTTCTTTGAGAACTGTACAGAGAAAAGAATTAATGGAGGAAAACGTGGTAGAGCGCCCTCTCTAGGAAAGGATGTGCTCACATACCTGTAGCAAGGAGATGCCTTCTCCACACACACAAACCCGAAGTAGCCTCTCTTGCCTCCCAGGCGGGAGCTCCTGCGGTGCTTGAACTCGCAGCAGGAACTGATCCTGTTCACCTGAATCCCGTTCAGAAAGAAGGTGAGGCTGAAGGGGAAACCGTGGTGACGTTTGGAGATAAACTGAAAGGTGTCTGGAATTCAAAGACAAACACTCCTGAGCAGAGCAATCATCAGGACTGGCGGGATCATAAGGACGTCTTACTAACCACATTTTTTTTTTCTTTTCAAAAGAAAACATTATGATACAGAAAATACTTTTCATCTGAAAACTTTTTCCAGTACTGGGGGGTGGAAATCAGGTGGACCATAACTGCACAGACAAGCTCAGTTGGTCAAGAGCCTCCCTGTGAATGGAAAAGCCCAGCCTGGATCCCCAGAAACTGTTTTATAACAAAAGCCAAGAGTTCATATCAAGATCATCTTCTGCCCTTCCCACCCCCATACACACTCATACACACTACAGGCCTTCACACACAATATTATAATTAGTCTAATTATGATGCATATATGGGTGAGAGTTACTTCAACCCCAAGCTGTTTGTATTTGAGATTCTTTTTCTCCCTACCTTTTCAAGTATTTTACCAAGAAATTAAGAATTGATGTTTGTGGTGCAATCTTAATTACTCCAAAATCTTTATAGTTCTCTAATAAAGTCGCACCCAAGAGATGCTCTACAGAATGACTCAGACTTCTGCTTCACACGACACTTCCAGGAACCCTTCAAGAGGTCCCACCTCTCTGACATGCTCGCATTACCTATCTTATTACAATCTGTTAAAATATGGTTGCACTAGAGGTTTTAAATTTTTAATGTGCAATGGAACCATTTGGGGGACTTATTCAAGCCAAACTGCCTGAGATCCTTTTCTTTCTTTTCTTTTTTCTTTTCTTTTCTCTTTTCTTTTCTTTTCTTTCTTCCTTTCTTTGTTTTCTTTTATTGGATATTTTATTTATTTACATTTCAAATGTTATCCCCTTTCCCAGTCTGCCCCCAGGAATTCCCTATCCCATTCCCCTTCCCCCTGCTTCTTTGAGGGTGTTCCCCCACCCACCCATATACTCCCACCTCCCTGCCCTGACATTCCCCTACACTGAGGCATCAAGCCTTCACAGGAGCAAGGACCTCTTATCCCTTTGAGGCCTAACTAGGCCATCCTCTGCTACATAAGCAGCTGGAGCCATGGGTCCCCCCATATGTACTCTTTGGTTGGTGGTTAAGTCCCTGAGAGCTCCCGGGGGGTGGGGGGTCTGGTTGGTTGATAATGTTGTTATTCCTATGGAGTTGCAAACCCCTTCAGCTCAGAGGTGTTGTGACAGAGCTGAGGACAAATTCTGTGCTTTTGTTTGTTTGGGTTTGTTTGTTTGTTTTTAATTGCACTTCTAGCTTCCTGGTGCTCTTGCTGCTGGGTCTTGCTCACACCTCAGAACCCCAGTTCAGATGCTTGCTGGGCAGTATATTTGTAAAACTGTGAGGCAATGCTAGCTGATGTGTCTTGTTTCCTTCAGATCCTACCACAGTGGCAGGAGTTCCCAGATAATCAATCAGTGGGTCATTATTTTAACCTCTTCCTGCTCTGTTATTGACAGTGTCTATGAAGAGGCCACAGTGAAGTCTGGAAACTTTGTAAATCAAATGCAACTTGTCTTTGAGAGTTAGACCTACTGGAAAACCCTTGCCCTGTCCATCTCAGTATTCATGGTGAGAAAGTAAAAGAAGAAGGATGTGGGCCTTTGGAAAGGCTGAGAAACAGTGTGCTCAAAAGACCCCAGTCTTAATGATAAACGGACTCTTCAGTCAGAGGCTGGGAAGGCAGTTACAGACTGACCTCAAGTCCACATACTGAAATTTCTTCTGCTGTGGCTTGTTCCTTAGGACTCTGAGTACACACAAGGAAACAGAGACTAGGGAAACACAGGGAAGGGGTGGAGAGGCAGCTCAGCAATTGAGAGCGCTTGCTGCTATTACAGAGGACCGGAATTCAGTGTCCACTATGTACCAGATGACTCATGATAGCCTAGAACTCCAGCTCCAGGGTATCCAACATCCTCTGGCCTCTCTGGGCACCTCCACAGGTTTGTACATACACACATGGAGACACAGACATACATGGACACATAAAATAAAAATAAAGCAAATATATGGAGTGTTTGGAAAGCAGAGACGTTGGCTGTTCATTGATGATGATGTCATTGATGATGATGTCATTGATAATGAGTATCATTGGGATATTAAAGGAAAAGACAGGTACTAACTGTGGATAGATAGAGAAACAGATGATAGATACAGAGATAGACACTCTTGTATGTATAAAGTCTGTTGGTTTAAGAATCTATAATTCAGGCACAGAGGAATGACCGATTTGCTGGTTTATTCAGTAAGGTCATCGAATCTTCTTTCCTTAAACATGCCTTTAGAAATTGACAACTTAAAGTGGGCAGCAATTAATTCGTGCAAAACTCAGATTTCCTAAGAAAGCAGAAAGAATCTGTGTCCTTCTGCCTGAGGCCTCCCTGCTGTCTTCTCTTCACCAGTGCTCTAAGTGGGTACAGAATGGCAAAACACCCAGAAGCTTCCAGTCCATGAAGCATGACATCATTTGGTGCAGAAGGCAACAAACCCCTGGCATATGACATTTCCACAAACAGGTAACTATCTCCAAGCAGATCACAGAGGTTTCTGGAAATTTGAGTCTTAACTAATAAGTCAATACCCAGACCTTGACTAAGAACCACGGGCAACAGGGCGATCACAGCTGTCTTCCACAGCTCGCTATGCAGCCTAAGTTTTCAGGAAGCAACCTGGGTCTCCATGGACTCACTCTGTCTCATGAATCCCAGTCTACCTTCCTCTTCAGCTAGGCACAGAATGAACAAGAATGCCTGGTGGAAAAACCAAAGCTGGGGCATGAAAACTCCCCAGGTGTGGAATGTTTCCCTGAACTCACTGAAGTTCAGAATCACTCAGGACTTCTGGGTGACCCTGTTCAGTTACTGTTTAGATTTCAGGGACATCATTAATGAAGGCTCTAGAGGAAGGTATTCTGGCTGCTAGTTTTCCCTGAATCTAATACCTGATGTTCTCACAAAAAAAAGGAACACACATACAGAAAAAAAGAGGCCACACAAAGCCAACACAGACACCTCAGTAACAACACTGTCACCAGCAGAGAGCTGACCCGCCTGAAGAGTCAAAACTTGACAGAATCAAGGAAGGCAACGGCCCAGAGCCCTGCAGGGAACTCAACCAGGATTGTCTTCATTTTAGATTTCTAGCCTCTGGACATAGAAGATAACCTTCCATTGTTTACACCGTGACTAAGAGACATTTCTTTTCTCAGCCCTGGGAAGCTAATACCCCACAAATTGATCAACAAGTAGAGAGGCCGAGCCTCTGACGGGTCACTGGTAAACATTTGAAATCAGACACCACTCTGAGAGCTGGAAACTTCACTAGATGTATCACAGTTCTGGAGATGAAGAGTTTATATTGACTCCAAAATCCCTAGGCACAATATAGAAAAGTCAGAACTCAAAGTTTATAGTATGTAATACATGTAAATACATGTTAAGAAACAGGAAGCTGGGGCCCACACAGAGAAAAAGGGCAATCCAAACCATTCTAGCAATCTAGTGAAGAACATGATGTGGGGCTCATCTCAGTTCTTTTCTTGACAACATCTGGAATCAGCTAAAACCCAGGCTGCTGGGCAGGCCTATGAGAAGTTTCTTAGATGGGTTATTTGAGGCAGGAAGGCTTGCTCTAAATCTGAACAGGACCTGCTGGTGACAGCCCAGATAAAAGACTTGGAAGAAGGAAGTTTGGCTTCTTGCCTGCTAGACAACTCTCACTTTCCCTGGTAAGTCCACCCAGCCTATTGCTGAGACACAAACATACTAGAACAAACTTCCGGATTCCAGAACAGCCTGAAGACCTGCAGCTCTCCACGAAACCTCAAAGTCCAGTGCCAGATTGGGACTGAGGAGACATTCAATCTCACAGAGCAACCTTCCAGACTTATAGCCATTGTTGGACTACCCAGATCACAGCCTGTAAGCCACTCTAATATCTAATACACTAATACACACACATACATGCATACACACACATACATGCATACACACAACACACTATATATAGTATATTATTATACATAGTATTATTATACTATATATTAGTATATATAGTTATATATCAGTTATATATTATATAACATATATTAGATATATGTTATATTATGATATACATAATATTAGTTATATATTATATATTAACTAATACATAGTTATATATTAGTATATATACTAATATATAATTGTGAGATATATATATATACATATATATATATATGTATATGTATATATCAGTTCTGCTTCTTTAGAGAAGCCTAAAACAGAATGCAATGTGTGTATACAAACATGCTACAGTACAGTACATCTTTTATAGGCATTATTGTTATTATTACATTGATCATATTATAACATATTAATATACTATCAATATTATTGCTGTTTGTATCCCTATCTGGAATCAGTCTCTGGATTGTAGATGTAATCATCTGTACAACAACTTCCTCATTCAGCAAAATAAAGCAACTGCTGATTCAATAAGTCAGCAGAAAGACAGAGAGCTGTCAGTGAAGGGACCCCCATGATGGTGAGTCTGAAATGGTTGCACAAGGGTATCCCCAAATTTTACACAATCCATGAATCCCATTAGTTCACACACATATAATGGGTAGATATCGTGACATTTCATTTTATCTTGATAAATCTACCTTAAAAATCAAAATCAATATAAAACAAGAGAAGAATTGAAGAACAGTTAAATGAGGTCAGAATATAGTGGAGAGCTTCCATTCTAAGATTAGATAGACTCCCAACATAGCTATTAGGAGAAACCCCAGCAAAAGTTACATGAAACGCAGAGACACTTCAACTAGACTCATGGCTGAGAGAGGTTTGGTTTTAAGGGAGAGAGAAGAGGGATCATCACAGGCCAAGTAAACATCCCAGGAAAAGGACCTTCTATTTGAGAAAGAGGCTTGTTACAGAGAGAAGACACACGGGAAGAGCAAGGTGAGATTGGTTTGTGAACCCTAAGAAAATGGACTCAAGAAGTGGAGACTATCAGAAGGCCAAAGAATCAATTACAGCTTCTTTGCCCCACGTGAGCCCACAGGCTAAAGCTTGTTTTGTTTGAAAGGATACACACGGCAAGTCAGAGTGCCTAGCAGACAATGCCATCTTTATGAGAAGTAAAAACAGCTCAGGCTCACCGTGAGTGCACTAAAGCAGTTCACTGTGGTTCCGACTCTATAAACCTGACTACAACAAGCACCAGGGATTACTTTGGGATTAAAAAGATGCTCTTAGCTCCATTCTTCCATAATTTTTATTGTTATTCTTAATTTTCAAGAACAAATGTCACGTTTTATTAAATGAGCTATCTCAAAAGTATAAAATAAGGCTTTTATTTATTCTCCACAGAAACCTAAAACCTATTCACATTTCACAGAATCACACACCACAGAAGACACCTTTGATAGACTGGATAAAGCCCTCTGGCTGCTGAGCCTCATGGTAGCTAACAAAGCTACTCTTCAGTCCTGAACAATTCTCTCCTACTGTTCAATGTAAGCTGAGACCACATTACAGCAGGGACAGAATCCATTATTTAAGTCCTCATTCCAAGCTCTTGTGTAAGATTATCCAGTGTCTCAACACAGAGACCCAGGATCAGTGTGCGCACAAAATAACCATCCAGCTTTAGGGTCTGCATCCTTGGTCCACCCCATGTGTTGTTTTCTAGACCACCCGGGTAAGACTTCATTTGTGAAAGTCACATTCACCACTCAATAGCTGTTCTGTATACATGCTGTTGAATCAAGCGTGATACAGAACCCAGCAAACTGTTTAAACATAGACACCTGAACATAAGTATTCTAATTTTACCTGATAGCTACTTTCATCGATCCTCATAAATTAACACACAAACAACATACTTTTAAAAAAATAATTGTCTCCCAGCTGCTTGGGTTAAGATGAGAGTCTGTGCCTCTGTCCCTACATGTCAAGCTCATTGGAATTCACATCCTTCCCTTTAGGTTGGCACTTTGGCTACTGACACAGCTGAGGTAGCATTGAACACTAGACCCTACCCCACCTGGCCCAAGCTATTGGGATATCCTTCAAGAGTCACCCCAGGTCAGGGGCTCCTCCATTCCCTCATTTACAAACAGATGAAGGAACTCTGGGATGTGATTGAGAAACACCAGAGTAAATTCCCACATTTCTGCAAATTTGAAACAATGGTGACAGTTCTCAACAAACTGAGAACAATGTTTTATTTTACTTTAACTTAAAGCTAATGTCCCAATATCTTGTTTATTTGAGAGGCTTAAAACATGTAATCTCCAAATCTGTTGTTATATTTGTGGCTGGTTTTATTAGAGTCACTATTTTTGATTGGCAAAAAAAAATTTCAAAGGAAAAAAAAAATAATTCCATGTGTCCCAACGACATTCTTTATCAGCTTTCTCAGTCTGTTTGATTTCCCATATAGTTTTGAAAACTAACAGAACTTCCTAAAGAGAGTTTCCTATGCAAACAAGGAAAGAACATAGTTTTGTAAACATGCCTCTTTTCATTGCTGCCCCACTAAATGAAATATTGAAGGAAACACTATAATACAGTATGTCGGAATATGTATTAGTAAAAATCCCTTATATCGACAAATGTGGACTTAGGATCAAAGGAAAGTACAAATGACTAAAAACGGCATTTAAACAATGTTTTTCATCATTATTTAGGTTTGACTCATTATAGAATCTACTGAATCTTTGATTTTTGTCTCCATATATTCTAACAAATTGCCAATCTGTAATTTTTTCTTATGATAACCTGTGATATCATTCACTATGGCAAACCAAATAGTTAACTTGCAATCTTTAGTGACAGCATATTCCTGAGACGTTTAATGATCATATATATCTCTGTCTCAAAAATCAATCTGTTACCAGGATAAATCACTCCAAATTCTTTCTCCCACAATCTGCAGGAGCAATCACTGTTCCAGTTTCAATCAAGGAGCTGTGAATCTAGATTTACTCTTAAGCAGCTGGTTTATAATTCCCTGGATGTGCATAATTTCACAAAGTGGTTAAAGTCATTTTGATATTATGTCAACAACAGCTTATCTGGAACATCAACCCAAACTTTCTTTCCCCACGTTCATTTGTACCTTTCTCAAGCAGTTTCCCTTTGTAGACACAAAGGTTCTCTCCTCCACAGTGCTGTTGGTAAATCTTGATTTCATCTCGGAAGTCTATGTCATCATAAGATACGTGCACATTTTTTCCAAAATAGACCATTGTGATAACTGCATTGCTATGCGGTGCTGTTTTATAAATCCTTCCCGGATCCTAGAATAGAGCAAACAGGACATGGAGACTTAATGTCTCCCAATGAGACTTCCTTCTCCCACATGACTTTATAATACAAAGAACAGAGAGATCTAATTCTTTTCCTTTTTTTTTTTTTTTTTTTTTTTTGAGACAGGGTTCCTCTGTGTTCCTCTGGCTGTCCTGAAATTCATTCTGTAGACCAGGCTATCCTCAAACTTAGAAATCCGCCTGCCTCTGCCTCCCAAGTGCTGGGATTAAAGGCGTGTGCCGCCACTGCCCGGCTGAGAAATCTAATTCTAACTCCCTTATAACAAAATATTTATAAAGGGTAAATTGTACACAATGTCCAAGAATCAAAAGCATTACAAAATACATTCTTCTCCATCTCTTTAGTATGCAGATTTTGGCTTTCATTTTTGTAAATGATAAAGATGTGAACAAAATTTGTTATTTTTTACTTTAAGTTCTTTCTCTTCTCTCTTTCTCTGCTAAGAAGGAAGTACTTTTGACTATTTCAGCTATTTTTTCAAACAAAAATTCCAACAAATGAACCGAATGAATGCTAATATTGTAATTTGGAGTTGATATTGACCATGACACAGTAACAGTTCTAAGGTGACCCATCTCATCTTTATAAGTGAGCAAAGACACAGACCCTTTCTTAGTTCATTCTCTCTGAGAGATGAGTAGATATACGGACTCCTGACATCCCTGCAAGGATAGGTGATCATGTATGTCAAGTACCTGGAATTACCACATAGAAGTAAAATTGGATTCTCTCTTGGAAAAAATAAAACAGGTAACCAACTATGGTTAATTTCAAGAGCTGAGAGAAAATAAATTAATCACTTTTGAGTCTGAGTATTATAAAAACATGTCAGCTTACAGGGATGTGTACTTAAGATGATGTTAATGAGTTCCATGATCATGAATCACTTATTTAACTTGATTTGCTTCATCTCTAAAGTGAAATTGTTGTGTCTTCTTTTAAGGTTACTGTGTATATGGCACATTAAACATGACATTCTAAGGACCACTGAATAACGTATCTCATTAGTATTGCCTTTAAACATAAACTTTTATACTTTGCTGAAAGTTCACAGAGCACACATGTAAGAAGAGACAATCAAATGAAGAAAAGACAATAGGTGATTTGGGGGTAAGTATATTTGCCGAGGAGACGATATAAAACAATGGAATGAAACAAGGACCAGCTGAAACTAGTAATCCAATCTAGGCAGAGGTAGGGGAGAAGTCTGGGTGATGGGCAGAACTGAGACCTTCCTCATCAATGGATAAATAAGTATAACTTCTTACTATGATGTTTCTGCATCTCAGACTCTATTGACTTGGAAAGGATAAACTGCCAAACCACATGGGAAGATGATATATCTCAACAGAAAAGTAAGCATCAAGATGGAAATTCTGGCGATACTCAGATCAAGGGGTGGAGATAAAAATAAAGAGAAGAGGTAAGAGAGAAGGCCTGGGAAGATACATGTTGTAAGTCAAGAGCAGAGCTTTGAAGAAGAGGGAAGGTGAAATGTGCCGGGGCTAAGCTCATTAATGAAGCAGATATCCAGACTGAATTAAACACAAACCATCCACCTCCTACATTAGCACATTTAAAGCCCAGGCTTCATGCCTAAGAATCCAAAAGGCTAAAAGTAATAAAATGTATATGAATAATACATATATAATTATATATATATATGAATAATATATATTCTTTCTCTTTATGTATTACAGAAAGAATATTTTAACACAAGAAGTAATGAGTAGTATGACGGATTATTTTTCAGTGATACAGAATTTCATCATTAAAGCCAAAGAGTCCTAAAAGACTCCAGAAGATCCTGGACATTCACAAGTAAAACCTAAACCATCACAAGAAGCTAACAAACTCACAGTTTACAGAGTGTGAATCATCAGTAAACTCACTGACTGACAGACCAAGCAATGTTTCTAAAATATCTAATGACATAAAGCAATTTATTAGACACTAATAATTCTGAATATTAATTGGCCTCAACTCCTCAGTAAGAAGGCACTTCAATAAAAAACTATGAGAGAAGGTACTGTAATTATAAATATGTATGTACAAAACATAGATATACTCAACTTCATAAAATAATATTACTTGATGTAAAACCAAATATTAACCCTAACATAGTGATAATAATTTCAATACCTCGCTCTCACTAGTAGACAGGTCATCTAAAGAGAGAAACATCGGAGTTAAATGACATCATAAATCAAATAGACCTAAAAGACACCTATAGAACATTCCATTCAAACACTAAACAACACACATTCTTCTTAGCATCCCATGAAAACTTTCTCCAAATTTGGTCATGTACTGGGATACAAAGGAAGTCTCAACAAATATAGGAAAATTAAATTAGCCTAGACTAATTAGCCTGACCACAATGAAACTAAGCTCTGTATCAACATATAAACTACAGAAAGTATATAAGGGACCCAAACACAAGGAGACTAAACACACACTACAGAATGATTATCAGATCACTGAAGAAATAAAAAGGAAACAAAAATCTCTAGAATTGGGTACGTGAAAACACAACATACCAAACATCTATTTCACACATTTGAGTCAGTCTTAAGAAAAAAAAAAAGTCAATAGTGTCAAGTGGCTACATCAAAAGACTTGAGATATCTCAATAACTCAAGGACATACCTTAAGGCCTTGGAAAAACAAGAACAAAGACAAATTTAAAAAAATAAATAGGAAGAGATAAGCAAAATCAGTGAAGTAAAAAGTCAAAATCAACAAAGAGTCAATGAAACCCTAACCCTGAGAGTCAGTTCTTCCGAAAGAAAAACAAGATTAAAAGATCCTAAAGGAGAACATTACAGCAGACACCAGTGAAATTCTGAAAACAATAAAGCAAGATGTGATATGTTATGCACATTAGCATCCATATATAAAAGGCTCGTGGGCACACTGAGGAAGAGGGAGCAGAAACAACTAAGAGATAGAGGTTGGGGAAGAAAGCTGTGAAGAGCTGACTTCAGGACTTGACATGGATGTTACACTCAACCCTATGTGGTTGCCAGTCTCTACTGCAACATGGGCTGGAGATGAGCTCCTGAGGCTCAGCCCCTAGCTGAGAGGCTTGTTGCAGTTGGTGGCTGTTAAGGGAGGGACAGTCACTTTTTTTTGGGGGGGGGATGTTACCACTGATAGATTGTCCACACCCCAGTAGTGGCCTGACATTTGTAAATGATCAGCATTAACAGACTCATGAAGATTTATCATCATCATCATTATTATCATCATTATTATTATTATTGACATGAAGCTGAGAGTGGACGTCTGTTGGTGGATTTCAAAGGCAGCTGGAGACAGGTAGTTGAGAGTATGAAACTGCCTGTGAAATTTTCAAGGAATAAATTTTTGAAACTGTAAAAGGAAAGAGAAAACTAGTCTAAGGTGCTGTCCACATAGAAAGAATTTGATAACTCTATCTAAAGCCTGCAATCTGTCAAGAATTGCAGAGATTACGTGACAAGGCTTAAGAGGCCCACTTGGGGAAGACAGGGTCAGGTCAGTATCAGGCACCCAGGCCAAAGTCTTCAGGGAAGAGGGAGGCTCTGCCAGAGACAGCAGCAAAGGGAGAGAATAGAGAGAAATCAGAGTGAAGGGAGGAAATTTGAAAAGGCAGGAAAAAACTTCCCGGCCTTTTAGAAGGTTAGAGGGAGAGCAGATGCTGGAGTGAGATATGGATGGGACAGACGGGGCCTTGAGAAGGGTGTTTGAGGCAAGGCTGCCTTGAAGGAGTGGGATGCAGAGTGGTGTGTTTTGGGAACCTCACTACTACTTCACTGGGGAAAATGTCAACCCCATTATCTGCTAAGAGTCACAGGAGGTATGTGTAATAAATGCGGTTGTCTGTTGCACTATGAAAAAGAAGAGCTCCTCTGCTCTCTTACTGGACTGAAGCTGTGCAAAGTTCAGCTAGGCTTACAAGAATGTGCTATAATAATGCTTTGGGGAAATGTGTGTGACGAACCGGAATATTTCCAAAGAACAGTGGAAAAGTTGGTAGGCAGTATTCTCTAATTTGCAATAAACCATTAAAAAATAAAATTCAGTTTATATTACACTCTCTAGCTGTGCTTAAATTCATGAATTTTCATGAACTAAATGTGAAGATACTCTGAATGATCAACTTAAGGGAAATGAAGTTGAAGTCTAAACTGGAATCTGACTGCTAGAGTTCATGAGTAATCTTTCATCACTTAGGGTAATTGAGTTGTTTTCCTAATTACTCAGATGTTTTCTTTGACTCTCAGGGTTCTTTACAGCTGTGCTTAGAAAAATACTATATGTATATAATGCACTTTTGGTACCTGGTTCTAGAAAATTCTTCCACTACAGATCTAGAACCCAGCTGGTGTGACGTTACTAGTATTACAGTAATAAAAGAACATGTTGACCATAATCACCTTGCCAAAGAGAGGCTCAAGGCCATTGGGAGCTGTGATGGGACGCAGCCTCTTCCTCCGCCATGACTCCAACCTGTTCTCCCTGAAGCTCTTTCCTGCTTGGGGCTGGGGTGTTGGGGGAACAGGTGTCTGGTAACTGTTAATGTGTGGAAGTTGGTACAGATCCTCCTTCTGGGAATTGTCCATATAGTTCCTGAATTTCATCATTGCCTTCTTGCCCTGTAATTACACATCATAACATAAGACCCAATGACACATAAGCAGAGCCCCAGTACAACCCAAATCAAAGGCAAGCTTGGATAGTTGTCACAAACTGAGCTGAGAACAACACACCAACCTAAAACGCATGCTCCTACTTTGAAACTCAGTTTGTCTCTACTGCAAATTCAGTAAGCACATATTTCTAACCTTGTGTGAATATACGGTTTTTTATTTCAGTTATTTAAGATAGCTTTTATTTATACTTTGATGGTTTCATATGTTTACCAGATATCTTGATCATATCTACCTTCAACTCCTTAAGCCTTTTTCCCTGGACACTCTCTTACATGGCCCCTCCCACTTTCATGTGCCCCCCCCCCCAAGTCATTGAGACCAATTAATGCTACCTCCTGGACTGCTCTTGCCAGCTTGATCTTGGTGGGTAACTGTAGCTGCACTGAGTTCTTGAGAATATACGGTTTTTAATAGAAGATTTAGAGATGGTTGATTTAGTTAATTTCACACTGGGGGGTCTGCAGGGTTGGACCCTGAAATAGGGCTGGCTAGTACACTGGGAAATAGGGACATTCTGATCTTATACACCCTGAGGATTGAACAGAAGGAAGAAGCAAGCCTGTGATCTAACACCACTGAGTATACTTGCTTGAAATCTTCAAACTTTGTGACGGACAATCAAAAATATCCACCAAATTTCAAAGAGAACACTCTTTGACCGACAAATCCTGCAATAAATCCTATATAGATAACTGCACAAATATTAATATTTGCCATAAATGTGCACTGAGCATACAGATACACATGTGTCTGTCTATATATAAAAGATGTATAAATTCAGCTAAACCATAAAAATTTTAGCACCCTAAAAATCCATAAATAGAAAAATGGTTCATAAAATTTGTTTTGTTTCTTTAATTACATTATATATTCTCATCAGGGTATAGAAATATGGGTATATTCTTACATAATAGCACAGGCAGTATTTCTTTTAAGTAATTTATATGTAGAGTTTGATTTTAAAAACAATACGATAGAAATTTTTAAATACTAATTTATCCTTGGGATATATATCTTCATTTTGCTTGAGAGTTTAATCAAGATACCTTATCTTAGTCATTTAAAATCTTTAAAAGTATAACTAAAAATATTAATCAGATAGAATTGACTCTAAACATTTCTGAAAATTGATTGTTTTTCATGTATCTGAAGTAAATATCCAAATTATAAGAGACTTAGATGTTTTTATCCATTTTATACCAATTTACCTTAATAATTCTTTATAGTCATACAGTATAAATTGACATTACATTTCTATTTTTGTATTCATAACTAATTTTTAATCAGTTTCGTCTATATTTTGTGATGCTTGATAATAAAAATTTTAAGAAAAGCTCTCCAAAGGATACTAATTACTAAGTCAATAGAAGCAGATTAAGTAAAGCATGTATAGCTTAAATCTTTAATAAAACCAACACTTTTGGGTAAGCAGACTTTACTGTTTGGTTGTTAACTTAGACTGAGTATTTTTACTTTGTTTTCAATTTATTTTGCCAATAGACTGAGCCTAGAATATCAAACCAAAATTAAATGAATATAACACAAATATTAAAATTATTTAATCATTGGAAACTTGGCCAATTTTTAATTGCTTTTAAAAAATAAATAGCATAACTGGATATCAACTATTTGTCCTGTTTTAGAAATGATCTTAATATTTTTTAAAAAAATAATGTTTTCTATTTTCAACTGATGGTATATTGGATAATTTTCTAAACCATTACATAGAATTACACAGTATTTTTAAGTTCTGAAGCATTTAAATAATACTGCATTATGTAGCTTTTCTCACTTATTCACTACTGTAACTATGACAGCTCAAAGCAAACTTAACTCTTCCTTTGCGCTTAATTGTATGTTCCTGGGGTAGATTCCTACATGTTAAGATGGTGGTAGACCATCTGGGAGGGCCTTGAAGATATTTGTGCTGATCTCTCCTGACAGGAGAGAGTCCTGAATATTTGAAAATTTTGCCACATGATTAGTTTTACTTAGTGGCATCAAAACCAACCTGTTGTTGACTAGGTCACTTTTTCCAAAAGATGCTCACTCCGACTGTTGTGACAAGTTCAACCCGGTCTTCTCTGTGGTGGTATTTCCAATCCTTATACCTCTATCCTCTTCAGTCTTTCAGTAAGCAAGAAGGTCAACCTGGTGCTCACTACATACTTAGCAACACTACAGACCACTGTCTTTCATAAGGAGTTTGATAGTCAACCCTTTCACCATCAAAACTAATAAAAGCATGTCTTTTCATAGTATATTTAGCTTACACATATTACACTGTAAGCTCTAGTAAGTGTCTTCTGTCTTCCTTGGTAAGCAATAATAACACTCGTTCTTACATCAGAATCCAACCTGTCATAAGTGCACAAACTATTCATTGAATTTAGCTAGTTGAAACTAACATGAAACTAATCATCTTCTTGGTACGTGTGAGCTACTCAAATGACTTTCTTTCAGAAATAACCCATGCTCTCAAAACTGGTAAGCAGGAAGATGAGATTGTATATTGGGTCACAATGTGTACATATAGATAGTACTTGAGATAGTGTCTCAGAGTAAATTTGGAGGAAAATTATTGAAAGGTGAAAAGTTCAGTCCCTAGATGTCAAAGACTGTCATCTCCCTAGTGGTGCTCTTATGTCTGGGGGGGGGGGAAGTTACGGAAATAGAACTCAGAACTATAGAAGCTTGGAAAGAATGTAATCACCTTGGCAAACATGGAGAGGACCCATTGAAGCACTGTCTATGGGGAAGGAAGTTCTACCCAGCAGGCTTTGAGTATGCCCAACCCTAATGGCAAAGCTAACCCCGGAGGACACAGAGAGTTTTAGGCAAAGACCTGTGAGTTTTCTGGTAATTTTGGCAAGCTCATTCCTGAGATGAGATGGGCACCTCAGGAAGCCTTAACCTGATCCAGGAACACAGCCTTAAGTCACAGCCCCATTCTGATTCTACGGTGACCAGGCAACCTTTTCATTGTGAGTCTGCCTCCCAGGTAGCTCTGCCAACCAGGGAGAAAACATTGTTGCTATACGGTTTGACCGTTTGATAACTCTTGGTGGATTAATTGTCCATGATCAAGACAAATCTATTTTAGATTACCATAAAGTTACAAAGGATTTTGCCTGTGTATTATTTTAAGAAGCCTGAAGTGATCTCACAAGACCTGGCTACTCCTGGGCAGTGACTGAAATGGCCTTCCAAGTATGGGCCTTCAACCATACCCGGATGCAAGACCCAGGAGCCTGCTTCACTCCAAGAAATTTCTCCAAAAAAAAAAAAAAATTGGCCATCACTTCCCAATTAACATCTTTTGGTGTTTAAGAAGCTACCAGGAAATTAACTGAATAAGGTATGTAAAACACTCTCATGAGCTAAAACCACATTCAACGGTCTGATGACACAGTTGTATCTGAATATTTAGTATGAAATTAAATCACTTCATCTGCATGAAGGGCATTTGTCCTTGCCAGAGCACAGTGTCTTAGGTTTGTGAGTAGCAGTTCATAGAAAGGAGTGAAGCACATTCATCCCTTTCATGCAATGGCAATTATGTTCATGACGCAAATTCTTAAGCTGGCAAATGTTTCTGCAAGTTAGAAAAACAGTCTCTCCCCATAATGGGAATGGCCTGGCCTATTCCTCCCTGTTTAGGTAGATTGTTTTATAGTAACCATACCTAAGAAAGAACCTTGAAAGGGATGCAGTGTCATCCCTAGGTTGATGACTTCAGCACCTTTAAAAGATAGACTCTCCTTCCTTCTATAATTCAACCTCCAAGTAACTTCACACACTGATAGGAAAGAGTCCCCACAGGAACATGGTCCTGCCATACAGAGTCCCATTGTCTGGTTCTCATGTGTTAAAATCTGAAAGGAGTCCACACAGAGTCATTACGGTGGACTGTCATGTGTGTGTGATCGGGGACAGAGCATCTTTTTCATTTGGCCTCTTCATAATGAGCTAAGCACTGCATGTCACTGAAATTCCATCCCTTTCAGATTCTGTACAGTTACATGAAAAGTAGGCCTTCCAATTGCAGCAATATATACTTAATCACAAGTACATGGTAAGTGCTTTGTGAACGTACAGTGTAGGTTTCACCGTGTGGATGAAAATACAGCATCTTTAAAACTTTGATAGCACATGATTTTTAATCCATAATTTAAAAACAGATGTTTCTTAAGGAAAATAGCATTTACCCCAAGAGGAAACGGAGCTTCACTTTGCAGCAGTGAGGATTTGGGTTTGGACCCTGAAGTTATCTTTGAACCATTTCTCCTTTGGCGATTACTAAGAAGAGGCTGGAGACGAACCGGAGGCTGCATATTTCCTGGGGCAGTATATGGTCGAGGGGCTGTCTAGACAATAATGGGGGGAATTTCATTTAAATTAGTACCTTGACATGATTCCAGAAACAATTAATAACCCAACAAATTGCCCAGAGTAATTAATGATGTCTTTTTACTGAACAGATTAAACTTTAATTATATCCTTCCATTATATACACCCTTGTGACCCCAAAGTATTTGTTAAAACATATGGTGTTGAAGTCCTCTACATAACCACATGTCATGGGGATGGAGCCTTCCAGACAAAAGAGATGTCCTCTATTATAGTCCTATGTTTTTGCTCATACTGTAAATTCTTCATTGTGCTAAATATGGGCAAAGAAAGGCTTTGCCCAATTAAATGTTAAGTTAAATAATGTCCTATTTCAGAAAACTGAAAGGGTATTATTGGAACAGACTCATTTCAGTTTCAATGTTTTCAATATAAAATCTACTCTGAATTCATTACGCAGCAAGGTTGGCACCCAAAGTAAAAGCAGACACCAGGAAAGGCAGGTGCTTGGCTGTAATGTACCACCAATTACATGTCTTCAACTGCTTCCTAAAGATGTAAGAAAACAAAATGAAATGTTATAGCTGGCCACACTGGGATGCACTATATAAAAAAAAAATGGATGTTTCCACACTGAGAGTCCTCCATTTGCTCTCCTAGGTCTCCTGTCTACCTTCTCTGTCTGAGAAGCTCTGGACCCTGGAAGTGATTTCTTAAGGAATTTACTAACTGACCTCAGGACTGCAATTATATTCTACCAATGAGAGGAATGATATCAGAGAAGATAGGAGGATGAAATGGAGGCCTTTATTCCCATAATCCTACAGGGAAGAAATAGTTCCTACCACCTAAGTTGTTAATGTTTCTGTGGGGAAGCCCTTACTTGCTATGGGACCTACCTACTGCTTCTGGAACCTAACCCTTCCTACAGAGCCTCCTCTTCAACCCAGGGACTGTGGCTTCCCATTGTGCTGACCCCAGCAGGCTATTGGCTTTTCTTCACCCTGCTGTATCTTTCTAAATAGTTTCTTTATTAAACAACTTTGTAATTACTCTATTTGTATGAGCCATCTGTTTCCTGCTGAGCCCCCAACAGAGACACTTTCCAATCAAGAATGTACTGTGGCGAATACAAAAAGTGCCAGCGTGGAACATTATAAGTGCCTTTGGGAGCATCAACAGAATATTGTAAGTTTAGTATAAAGATTAACAATGCATCAAAAGTGGGGAGGGGGGAATGAAGCTTGGTTGTCCTGTTCTAAGACAGTAAAATACATGCCAAGAATAGGCCATGCGTATTTGGGCAAAGTGGTATGAGATAGATGCTACATAAATGATTCATGAATAGAATTTTGTATGTTGACTCTAAAGGGTGGTGAGCCACAAATAGTCCATTCTGCAAAAGTAGGTACAAATAAACACATGAAAAAACTGGCAGCCAGAGACTCCTAGCAAGCATTGGTTCTCATGGCATCTTGAAAAGCATGCGTGCCCACACACTGCTAAAACTTTTGATTTCAACTGAATCTCTATCCTAGGGCAAGTGAGGAGATAACAAGTAATATGTAGCATCCAGAGATACTATTGGTCAATGAGACTGACTAATGCCACAGACCATGACTTAGAATAGTGCTCTCAGAATAGTTACAGTGAACAAGGAGGCTAAGAAAAACTAAGTTCTCACAGAAGCAGCTGAAATTTTAGCCAAATGACAAGGAAGATGGTCATTTGAAAATCCAAGTAAGAGCCAGTTCTGAGCCAGGATCACAGAGGAGCTGCAGGGACAACCCTGTCCAGTATTTGCTTTCCTTTCTTCTCCAGTAACAGAATTTTCATTCGTGAACATGGCTGGCACAAACAAAGGGTCTGTTCCCCAGACTTCCCCACAACTCTGTAAAAGGAGATGGCCTCTCACTTGAGGCTAGTAAAATGTCAACAAAAGTAACTCATGCAACTTGCAGTTCACTCTCATAGCAAAGGGAAGCACGTCCTTACTTTCCCGCTGACCCCTTCCCTCAGGCTGGAGCATCCACATGGTGATACACAGCCTGGCTGCTGTGGATGAAGCAGGCACACCAAGTTGGTGGGTGAGTAGCACAGAGGAATCCAGGTGTTTGATGACTTCATAGAGTCACCTAAGACTCATGGGCATGGACTGGGTGGGGATGGACCCCACGGGTAAGCCATTGTTACTTGGGTCTCTTATGGTGTGAATATGAAATGCCTCCCACTGGCTGTTTCAATACTTGGTCCAAAACTGGAGTTGCTCTTTTGGGAGTTTGTGGGCCCTTTGCTGGGTAGAGGCTGGCTGGAAGAAGATTCTGAAAGGCAGGCCTCAGTGTTTATAGAACACTCTGCTTATATCCCTGCCTCTGCTTTCTGTTCTGACAAGACTTGAGGAGGAGAAGAGTCCCAGCTCCACGCCCCCTGCTGCCTGCTGCTGGTCTTCTCCACCACGTGGACTCTGTCTCCTCAAGCTGTAAGCCAGGCAGGCTCTTGCTCCTTAGTTGTTTCTTGAAGGTTATTTTGTCTCAGTAACAAGGAAAGTAATGAATACAAACCTGAACCACAACAAACACATGCAGATCAACTGGGGTAACCTACAAGTCAGAGAAAACAGGACTATAGAGTGATCTAAACTAAATGACATCTCTGAATAAAAGACTCAAATCACCCAGAAGAGCTCTTGAGGATTCTACCGGACCCAATTTTCTCTTGAGGCTGTCTGATAATCCCAAACATGAAAATCTTGTGTAGAGATCCAGGAGAGCAGGTTACTGCAAACCAGGACACCATCTTCCAGTGGCTGTGCTCTTAATTTTACTCCTGTGCATTTGCATACAAATATCCAGTTAGATGGATGTGGCAGTCAAATGCCCAACTGATCACGTTTTATCTCTAAAAACAAATCTGTCCCATTAAAGTAGCAGCTGTGAGCCCCAAACCCTGGCAGTTCATATCAGAGGGTACCTTAAGCTTACTGCATGTTACAATGTGTAAATATATTTCTCTACAATAAATACGGCACCATCTTAATGTGCTCAAAGCTGTGCCAAAATGTGAGTTGAAACCGGCTACCTGATAATTACTCAGCTTAGCCAAGCTTTGCTAATTCTCAAGAGGATCACAGGGGGGTGAATTTCTCAAAGATGTGCAGAATCCATTGAGATGACTTTCCTCGGTTTTAACAGAGATAATGCAGCTAAATGCTTACACAGTGTTTGAAACTTTAGTGCCATTAGCATCAAAGTGCAGGAACCGAGTATTGAAAGCTTCTCTTAGTCAGAGAAGTTCAGGAAAAATAGTGATGTCCCATCAATCTTCCTGTCTCCATCTAGGGTAATTGGTAGTCAGGGTTGAAACTGACAGAGAATGTGTCCTGGATAGAATGGACAAACCAAAGGGACACTTGAATTTCTGTAAAGTGGGAAATTAAATTCCAAATCACAATAGCTATTCTAAGGGGCACAGGACACTCGGCATGTGGCCAAGTGGCTACTACCCTCATGTTCAAGGGTCAGGCTTGTAGTAGTGTAGCCTCTGATTTTCAAAGGACCCCCTGATTTTTGAACAGTGAACCACCGACTATCTCCTGAGGTGGTTCATCTGGAAAACTGGGGAACAGGGTACCAGGGTTTTCCCCTCTCTGAACCAGGTAGGAGGACAGAAAAATAGCACTATTTCCTTTGTTTTTTTCCTGGGAAAGCTTGGGAGAGGCTAATGAATTGCTATCTAACAAAGACATATTTGTGTGTACACACCTGCATTCAAGTCAGACCCAGAGGAGAGGAGGAGGAACGGTCCAGAGGGGACTGGGGCTTTTCAGAACTTGTGCTGTTCAGCCAGGACAGGTCAAGACATGTTTACCTTTTGCAGAATGCTGAAGCTTAATCCCATAGGTGACAAACTTACTCAACTACGTGTGAAGGTTTTGTCATCTCTCTACAAATATTGTATAACACAAATAAAAATGATCAGACTCGATAGAAAAACATCCAGTCACAAAAAACAAGGGTAGAGATGTCACAGGGAGTTTTAACCCAGCGTCAACACCAGCATCCAACAAACATTTTTTTTAAATCTTTCCTGAATCTGTATTGTTTTGAAAAACCCTGCCTTCCTTCCAGCAAATATCACCTCTAGGCCATAGACGCATCATGCTAGGATAAAATATCAGTGTATGACTTCTTCAGATGGGATTTCAGTACATTTAATTATCTCAGGGTAGAAGCATCTACTTTTGATAAGCTGAAACGGTAGAATGTTGCCAACATGCAACCTGGTACTGCTGAATCTGTGTAGATAAAGGAATAGCAAGAATAATACCCAGATGTCAGAATAATACCCAGAAGACACAGTCAGGAGCTTAATCCTGCCACATTACCAAGAGCTGAAGGGTAAACACTGAGAGCGATAACTTGAAGTCGTCATGTTTGATTTTAGATATCAGAATGAGTTTGCTCTTTCTATAGGTAAAATGGAGCCAGGTGTAGTATCTGGGTACCTACATAACCACAAGTCATCTCCACTTCAGAAACTGGTGTGGTAGCTGCAAGTACAGAGATTATTAGTCCACAGCAATTTTGATTGGAGTGGGGACTTGTGATGTTGACTTTCAATATTGAGTAATGAGGAGACTGTGGTTTCCAATTGCTTCCTTTCTCTGTTTTCACTTCTATAGGGTTATGCAGACATGCTTCCCAGAGAGCCTTCTTTCTCAGATTAATGAGAAATCATAAATTAATTAGTTGGGACAGAGTGCTTAATAGGGCTCACCAGTGTTAATGGACTAGAACGTCCTTCCTCAGCCAGAACACTAAGGCCACGATTAGTCTTTGGACCAGCTGGGGGATGGGGAGTCAGAATGGGCATGTTATCTTCAATAAATCGCCTTGTGTGTTCTCCCTGGAATGAGAAAAAAATGTGAATTTGACATATAGGTGATCAGGTTAGCTTAGTGTCTGACACATATCCATACTGTGAGATCAAAGCCCTCCTAACCAAGACTGCTACTCTGACATGGAAGTCAGCAATGTTTCTCTAGCCCTGTTGGTAGCAGGGTGTGGTAGGCAGTAAGTGAGAGAAAATAGAATCCTCTCCACCTGCACACACAAAGGATTCATTCTGAGAGAACCTTCTACTTAATGATAATGTTTGTTGGGCCAGCGAAGTGCCCTTTGCACTTCACTATACTGAAGGTACACACTACCAGAAAAGATTAAAGTTGGTGTTATAGAAACAGTAATTTAATAATGCCTCTAAACAATACAGTTACTTTTACTAAATAGAGGGGACCTAAAACATGCCTTTGCCAATTGCAATTATGCAATGAGTTTTGACAAGCAGGTGTCAGATGGGAGCAACTCTGAGTGCCTCTAGCACTTTCCTAGAACCCTTGTCTTCCCATCTACCTAGTGCCTACCATCTGCCATTTGCACAGGACAGACAAATCACAGACACAGCACACCCTGTTTCAGGCACTGGAAATCAGTATTTCCAGTCACCGTTGCATCCACATGCTGCCAAACAAATCACAGAAACTGTAAGTTCCTGATGCAAGGCATGGCCAGCCAAGCTGAATGAACCTAGAGCCTCTGCATCCCAGCTCCCCTGATCCTGAGAAGGGACACGCCACCTGTCATTTAACACTTTAGTAAAGAGATCACCCTTGGTCTCTGATAAAATAGATTTAAGTCTATCAACCCAGAGAGGAAAATGTTTCTCTTACAGGGCAGGTTGCCCTACGAACACTTTACAAATGCTTATCAGTTTGTGAAACGCATTTCAGGCTCCACATTTGGAATACTATAGCAAATGAAGAACAAGCAGCCCATGATTTCAAATAGCTCAAGAAATCAAATAAATCTGCCCATCCTAAACTGAAACTTTTCAAACATGCCTAATTGAATCTCTCATCCCCTGATTCAAATTGATGTATTTCATAAGTTCACTGCAAGGGACAAAAATAGAGAACAACCATGGGATTTAAAAATACCTAGCACAAAATGTTAGATCTGTTCGTGCTTCCTTCTACTAAGGAAGCTTGTTCCCACCATAATATTCAAGGGTAACATTCGAATGAAAATGTGTGATTGTATAATTCTTCCGATGTTTTCTTTTCCTTCAAGCTGGTACATTACCATCTATTTTTATTTTCTGAAGACTCACGAATATCCTTTGGCCTCTGCCACAAAAAAACACAAAAGCTAGACAGCAAATTTGACTATTTTCAAGTTTGTCTTTGAAGATTCTCGCCTTGCTGAAATGCGTTTCTCAGGAGCAGTGCCTGTTTTCTCGGGAACTGTACTGATGGCACTGAGCGCCAGGCTCCACTGAACCCTTTGCTTGATCTCAGCTATCTGTGCTGTCCAAAAGTAGCGGCCTCTAGACCTACCATGATAACTGCCTGGGAGTTCAAATTATACCATGATATCAAAAAGTATAGGAGTTTACCTTCAACCTCTGAATCCGCTCTTTCCTAGCTAAGGTATCCAGTTTCCGTTTTATTTCCAGCTGGTGGCAGCGCTGTGGATAGAACCGTGCTAGTTAGAGCCAAGAATATTTTAGTGGAAAATAATCCCAACAGAGGTAGCTCTGTTTTCAATTACCCCTCTTGTCATTTAGATGGAGAAGAACCACCTGCCTAAGTGTGCAGGTGGGAATATCAATTGCCACCACTCTTTGGGAGGCCAATTACAAACACATCTTAGCTAAAAGTATTCATGCCCTTTAACCATAAACTTTGTTCCTAAACTGAAGAAGAAAACCGAGTAATGGTTTTTAAGTGTTTTGCACAAAATTATGCTATCTGAAAGGGGTCCCACCCCTTTTTTTCTTTCAATAGTGCAATAGTGGTGTAAATTTTGGGGAAAAAATGGTTAAATGTTTGGTACATCCATGGGCTGGAACAATGTAATCATTTAAATAAAGTTTCTAAAGATTTTGATTTTTTTTAATGGAAAATGAAAGTAACACAGGAGGAAGCAAGATACTGAATGAGTAAGACTCTAGGGACTGGTGGGGCAGTCTGTGAGAGCATCTCTGGAGTTAGGAGCTGCTTTCTATGTCTCTAGTTCCAAAGCCAGCACATATCATAACTAAAGCCAGCAAGGCACAGAGTCACAGGTTTGTGTCTTGGTCTCACTTCCTGTTTCCTGTTTCTTTCCTCAAACCCATGTCCCTGTCACAACATATCATGACGATTTTCTTTTTTGTGTGTGTGCGAAGGATGATTTTATTTTTATTTATGTGTCTGTGGACATGGTGGTAGAGGGCTGCTTTCTTGGAGCTGGAGTTAGAAGCAGTCATGCACAGCATGAAACTGATGCTGGGAACTGAACTCTGGTCCTCTATAAGGGCAGCCAGTGGCTCATACCTGATAAACCGCATTTGAAATCCACTGTTCACTGTTCTTTGAGAAAGGGTCTTGGAACCTAGCTCAAGATGACCTGGAACTTACTACATAGCCAAGTCGGCTTCAAAATTGTTGCAATCCCCCTGCTGAGACCTCCTGAATACTAAGATTATAGGTACATGCTACCACATTGACTATATTGATGTTTTATTGTTCTATAAATATAACCAGAAGGTATTTAAAAGAAGTATAGAATAATAGCCATCTCTGAAAATAGAAACTTTATACAATTACTTTTGCTTTATGATGTGTCTCTTTTCCAATTATTTTCATATAATAGTTGGTGATTTAAAATATACCTAAATAAAAATGGGTCTTCCAATTAGACTTGAAATCTGTCAGTGGTTTTGTTGTCTCATTGTCCTTTGGGGAAAATCTTTTCTCTGGTCTTGGTCCCTGCCGATTCCATCACTCCCATCCTGAGCGTCATCAATCATTTCTTGACTCTTCTTGTTCTTCTCCCACCTGCTCTGATCTTTTACCCATTCACCAACAAACTTATATTAACTATCAATCTGATTCCAACTTCCATTTGTCCCCAACTCTCCATAGTCAGCAGCTCCTCTTCACTGTGGCTGAAATTCCCTCCCCAAACCCTCCTGCCAATACCTCCTGGATCCAGACATCCAGTGGAGCCACTCTGCAGCTGGTGACCTCATGAGCTCCCAGGCTCCCAGACAGCATTCCCCAGGCATGTTCCTCATCAGTGATGGGCTTCTATTCCCATGTTCCTGCTCTCCTTCTTCTGTTCCTCCTCATTCAGTCCCTAGTGCTCTCTCCATTGCTTGTGAGACAGCGACTTCTCTCAACAGCTTTCTCCTTCTCTGCTGTCCCCGTAGACAGCTGCCTCTCCCGCCCTCTCTCTGGCACTGTTAGCTGCACCCTTTGGCTACAGGCTCCTAATTGACCTCCCACCTCCAATCTTTTCCAGACCATTAATCCATCGTCTGAATCTCCAGCAGCAACATCTCAGAAGGCTCTGCTTATCTATTTCACTCCCCTGCTGTAAAAACATCTCATTGCCTCAGCACCTATACCACACCGGAAACCCGCCTTGCGAACTCAAGACTTTCCAGAAACAAAGTTGCAACTTCTCAGATGACGTCACTTCCTCTTGCCAAGCAGCCCCTCCCTGAGTGGTCTTCCCGCTTTCTTTCCATTCACATGATCCTGCATATGGTTGTCCTTCTTCTCTGGAATTCCTTTCCTGAGCTCCTGGCTTACTCTTTCCCAGAAGCAGCAGCTCTGTGCCCCTTGCTCAGAAGCCCTCAGGACACCTCCTTGTTTCTAGGATCCAGTTTGTCACATCTGTCTTCTATGCAGTCGCTATGCAGTATTTCAGTAAACAGTGTCTTGCAGCCACAGGACAGGGTCCCTGCTTGGCACACATTGAATCGGCTACTGTTGCATGAGTGAATGCGTGAACACCTACAGCAATGTCAGGAAAAATTGTAGCATTTTCAAGTCAATGGGAGGCAGTGTGCCAACCTGGAGACAATATTAGCTATTCTGGCATATTAACAGATTGGATATGTCTTCTGAAACATGGTTAGGGGCTGAACAGTTTCTCATTTCACTGTTTTTCATGTTTGTGGATATCTGAAGACTCCAATAACTAAACAGTCCTAATCTGAACATGCAGAGTCCTCTGAAAGTCTAAACCCTTAAACACAAACACCATGCTTACAATACTTTCAAGTTCTGAGCATCCCATATTTATTTTTCTAACTGTGCATGTGGGTTTGTGTGTGTGAAATACGTACTGGATGAATTGAATGTCTTCGGTGTGCATGCAAAGACCAGAGGAAAACAACGGCTGACCTGCTCTGTGCTATTCCCTTAGGACAGGGTCACTCACTGAACCCAGATCTAGGCTGGCAGCAAGTCATAACCGTCTTCCGTCGCTGGAATGGAGTTACAGACACGTGTGTGACCACAACGGGTTTTTTCCATAGGTGCTGAGGATTTGAACTCAGAACTTTCAGCTTGTCTCGTAAGTGTTCTTACCCTTTGAACTGTCTCCACAGGCCCATGTTTTAGATTTTCAGATTAGAGAAAGTCAAGCTATGTATGATAATTACTATACATTCTTTTAAATGTAATTATGTGTTGTTAGTGTATGAGACTCAACTGGAAATATATGTTTATGTTTATATGAACAATGTATCTGATGTACCTATAGACTCTAAGGACCTGGCCAAGGTTGAACTTAGCTCTTCTAAAGCTAGAAGTTAGGTAGGGGTTAATTTAATACCATAACTTTTTATATTTTAGCAGAATTGTACCATTCCCACTGGTACTTTTACAATCAGCAAGTTTGAGGCTGTCAACAATGAGTCTAGGTAACTTGTGGACACAATCTGAAATTAAAAAAATATTAACCGCTAAGTAGGCAGAAACTGTATGTGTGCAATAGGCATCTTAAGTGAGCACTCCGCATGACTGATTTGATGATATGCTCAACATAATCACAAATATTTTCACTGGTCCTAAACTTGTTGCTGGTTAACTGATACTCCTGCATTTGTTCATAATGCTAACGCTCCCACAAATCAGAGACCTTCCAAGCCATTTCTCTGATTTACTGCTATGGGTTTGAGCCAAGGAGTGGTGTCCTTTTTCACAAAGACTAAATGGTGTTTGATGACTGAAACTACAGTTTTGTGGCACAAAACTGCAAAAATTTATCAGGTTAGCTTCATATCCCACTAAAAGTGCAATGTCAGATTCCACAAAACGTGTTGACGCACAGCCTGTAAATCCGTGCTGACCAATGTGTCCTAAAGTAGGAGGGACAGCAGATGTTTCAATGCCTATTCTGTGAAAGTTAACATACGGCTGAGCTACAGAGCCTTAAAAGAATAACAGGTCTGGGATAATTCGTGGCACTGGAATTACTGATATTTAAACAGATGTCACTTTTTTTTTTTAGCAAATGGAAATTAAGGCACAGATGGTGAGGGCCGGTAGCCATTGTGGATTAAAAGAATCTACATTTAGAAAATTAAATATCACAAACTTTATAATCATGTCCATATTTCTTCTGAACTAAAAAGGAGGAAAAACTTGAGAGTCTGGGCTCCTAGCTACTTAGGAATGGACCAATTTCTTTGGTCCATTTCCTTTTTCGTGAAGTTTAGGAAGAGTTACCCAATCATTACTCATAAAAAGGGAAGAAATGCCCGCACCTCCATATCAAGGACCTTGTGGAAAATGGCCCGGGCTAAGCACTCTCGGATGTATTTTTGGTGATCCTGCTTCATGTTGTTAACTTTGTACTCCTTTTCAGAAAGTATCCTCCCACTTCTCGTGATCTGTGGGAGAGAATAAAAAGTGTGAATGGATAAGGAAAATACACAAAGAAATACAAAGTAGCAAAATGTTATTAGGTACCAAGAAAGGCAGAGAGAAGGGAGAGAGGGAAGAGAGGGAGGGAGGAGAGAAACAAAGAGATTGGGGGAGGGAGAGGAAAGAGAGAGGGAGGAAGGAAGGAAAAGAGAGGGGGAGGGTGGGAGGGAGGGAGGGAGGGAGGAGAGAGAGAGAGAGAGAGAGAGAGAGAGAGAGAGAGAGAGAGAGAGAGATGGCCTTTTCACAGCCTAAAGGAGAATACCATTGTCACTAATGAACTTCCGCTTTTAATGAATATTTCATCAAGCAGAAAGGAAAAAGGAAGTCTCGCTTACCTGTCAGTGTGAAAACACACACAGGTGGTACACTTGACGTTTAAAACAAGGTTTTCATTAGAGTAACAATTTTCCAGTGATAGAACCCAGGTGTTCTTTTCAGTCTCCTGAAAGCACCCTGAGAAGAGGAGGTGCTATGTTGAAAGAGTGCAGGAAAGTAGGCCTACGGGGGCTCACAGGAAATCCTGGCAGGGGCTAGGCAGGCAAGGGCACTGAGGAAGCCTTTGGTTTGCCTTGAGAAATAATTGGTTTCATTACTTTCTTTGCTCCCTGCTTTTTCCTTCCTCCACTTTGCAACCCAGAACATAATTTAATTTGCTATGATTTAGAATTTTATGGATTACACAGAAGTGTGGATGGGCTTTTTTGTGTGTGTGATATTGGTCACAGCGGGGATCACTGCGTGTACCAGAGTGTGGATTTCTGCCCCTCATTCCTTGCTTCTTTGACTCTGTCCCTGGGCTCCATCAGCTGTTGCCTCTAACCTCCCTGCAAGAGGCTGCTGTTCTCACGCCTGCTCCTTTTCCACCTCCCCATCAACAGGCTCCTGTTAAGTTTAAAAACAAGTCACCTTAACATGTGAGTGAGTGTGTGTGTGTGTGTGTGTGTGTGTGTGTGTGTGTGTTCATGCTCATATGTGCATGTGTACCAGTGTGCATGCAGTGCAGACACCAGCCGAGGCCACAGGTGTTGAATGCCCTGGAGCTGAAGTCGCTGGATGTTATAAGCTGCTCTGCGGGTGCTCAGGTGCATGCTCTGAACAGGGAGCCGTCTTTCCAGACCCCACGCTCATGTTCTTAATTTCCTTCTTCAATTTTAGCTGTAATTTTTATACTGTTGTTGCTTCCTATTCCTTCAGATAACCCACTTAAGGTGTCTTGAATGTACTACTGCCCATCGACTTCATGTTACTGGGAAGTTTCTAAAGTTTGGCTGTCCTGCCATTCCCATCCTCTTGTCAGTTGCCCTGTGTCATTGTTATCTGTCTCTGGAATTGTCTTCTCTCCCTGGTTAGGCAGGAGGCTCCTAGAGAGTCACAGTGCTTAAACTCCAGGTGAAGTGGACATAAATCCCCCAGAGGGGTTGAGAAACAGCAAATCCCACAGGTCTGGGGCGAGTTTCAAACTCACTTCTTCTAAGGAGTTTCTATGTGATGTGAGCGCTGCAGACTGCAGGTCTCTTCCTGGATCCTTTACGAAAAGAGACGCGCTATCCTTACCTGACTCGTCGTACTTGTAACAAGTGTCCATTCCGTGCTTAAGGATAGTGTTAAGTAAACACAGAGATCTGCCCAACTTACATGAAGCTAACAGTGTTTGTAGTCACACAGTGATCATGGGGCGGCTCACTGTACGTCCCTAACAGCAACAGGCATGGTGGTGGTGGTGGTGTGTGTGTGTTGGGGTTGGGGGGAGAGGGGCTTTGCCTTCATTGCACAATTGAGGAAGCTGGGCTGCAAGTGGTGTACACGGAAGTCTTGTTCCTAAGCAGAGCCAGAATTCACCTGACCCTTCTGATAACACTGCCCCAGGAGGCTGTGAAGGACTTTCTCCTGAGCTCCACCCAGCTAGTGCCAAGCACACAAACAACAATTAGAAACACAATACAGTTCTTTCGACATCAAAACAAGGCTGTACTTTAAGAAAGCAAACAACCAACACAGACTAGAGTCACACCCCTTCTCTTTCAAAGGAAAACCATAGGGTTTTTTGAGTTAGATTTTCCACTGTATATACATCTAAAGGAGTGGAAATTGTGTGGGAAGAAGGGCTTTGAAGCTGATGGAAGGCACTAAGGTATCAATAAACCATCACAGGGAAATGAAAGTTACACACACACACACAGAGAGAAAAGAAAGCAGACTATGTTTGCCACACCATATTCTATGAGTATTAAAAATAATATTTTTTTCTGAAACAATAGTCTTCTCTGCCCTTGCTCTTTGACGGTGTCTGATCCGTAGACTGTGTGCTGAAGGAGTGAATAAATAAGCAAGTCAGCCATGCTGCTGAAATCTCATAAGGACTTTTCTTCAATAATTTATGTTTCCTTAGTAGCCTTTGTAGCCTCCCTCCTTTGTTTAGAAAGAGCTTCAAATAAATAAATCAGAAGTTAAAAAGGAAGTAATTTTTCTGAATTAGTAGGGAGAAAAGGACTCAAAGGAAATCTGAAGAAAGGTTGGAAATTTCGGACTTAATTCAAGAAGAAAGTGGGCAGAACTCAAAGCGATCTTACCAGCCCGGATCTCAGGAGGTGCCTCCTGATTCTCGTATTGTTAAAGTACCCAGCCAGGTGTTTATCCGTGAGGCTATTATATGTTGCAAGTAATCTGAAACAGAAAGGAGAAACCATTAAGGTTTTATGAGGGTTGCTTGATAACCAGGGCCATTCTTGGCAACACTGCCTAAGCAAGCACTCTCCGGTGATGCATTTGTAGACAGATTTAACAGCTGACAGCCAGTGATGCATTTGAAGACAGGTTTAACAGCCAGCTGAGAGGCTATCTGTTCCAGGCCTTAAAGTAAGAGGTAGGGAACATTCTTGGTTTGGGTTACACAAAAAAATGAAAACCAGAAATGAGCACTTAAAATGGGGGTGAAAGGCCCGAAGGCGGAGCTACCTGCATCAGAGAGAGCTTAGCAGTGGGGTACGACAGGGAAGCAACAGCTGCTTCAGTATTCCTCAGCCTCTCCTGTGCACCCTAAACCCAGACACCTCACACCCCATGCTTCTCTCCCACCAGCAGCCAGCAGGACACACTTTGGAGGACCATCCTCCATCTGTCAGGGGGCTGGAAACCACTGACACTCAACTGCATCCTCAAAAAGAACCCCCCTGGTGTGCCCCTGGTTTCTATGTGACCCTTCCTCCACAGCAGGAAACTCCATGTTATATAACACTTCACAACATCAGATTCCTCACGTGCCTTCCTCCCCCTCTGCCTCTGAAGACCAAGTGCACCCCTTGATTCTAAACATCCCTCCCGATGTTGTCTGCTGCGATCTTAAACTGTAAAATGTCCTGAAGAAATAGATACTATTTTCTCTGGGATTTTTTTTCTTGTTGAGATAAAGTCCTAACTTATGCCTTAACATTTCTGACTTCTCAACTTACTCATATTTGTCTAGACAATTTTATTAACCCAGTGTCTAGTACCAAAACTTTAACGTATGGAATATCTTAGATTTTTAGGACATTTTAAGAATTAAAGGAAGCCAGATGTGGTGACACACACCTAAAATCCCAATATTCTGCTTGAGACGCAGAAGCAGGAGGATGTCAGTTGGAGGCCAGGCTGATCTATATAATAAGACTCCTTCAGCTTAGAACAAACTGAATTCTTGGTTACATACTATACCTTAATACATGGTTAGGCACAGTCTGTACAGTTCATACTTGAAGACTGGAAACTACTTTGCTCTTTAAACCTAATTTTATCATGCACACTTAAAAAGTACGCACATACATATATGTATGTACATGCAGACATATATATATACATGTGTATATGTGTGTGTGTGTGTATGCATGTATGTATGTATTCATCAAGCCTCACCACAATCCTATCCTAAGAAAACAAATTGCATAGACCACAGCAAGGATTTGCACCCTGAACACTTGAACAGCTGTTTCTTAGCTTCTTCTGACACTAGAGTACAAACGGGAGAGAATGTTAACAGGAATTTTATTTAGCTGTTTGCAAGACCTTAATTATGTGGAGAATAAATTGGTGACCTTTTCCCTGTCTCTCTTCTCCTTAACAACCCATCTCAGAAAAGTTCCATGCTGCCAAATGGTCAGGAAAGTTTAATTTTGTCCACAGGAAAAAAAAGACTGAAAAGCTGTAACAAAGCCCAGAAGCCAAGGTGCCACATGAAGGCTGCAGACATGACAACCGCAGAAACCATTCTTTCCCTGGGTTTATGTAAAAAGACAACCCAAGAGTCTCACCGAGTCACACACAAAACCAGCCTGAGACGATGCTTTAGAAGCCATCTTTTTTAAATGAACTGTCTTGATGTCCTACAGTTCATCAAAGGTTTCCTGTCTCTGAAAGGTCAGCCTCATATCCCTTACCCTTTCTGAATCTCGGAATCTCTTTTCAGCGCTTTTTTTTTTCCAAAAGGTGAGCAGGTGCCTCTTACTCCTAACAATCCCGATTGCACAGTTCACAGATTCTTAAGATAAATCACTATGGGAATCTCATATATAGTCTTTTGTCTGTCTTGCAGGTCCATGTTAAAAATAAATAAATAAATAAATTAAATAAATAAATACCAACACTCCTGTAATAGAGAGGAGTGTTGAAACCCTGATTAAATAAAGTGAAGTTAAAAGGTTGGGAAGACAAGGGCCTCAGCCTCACAATTGATGAAAAAAGCATTCTTTCTTCTAATCCAGGCTTCGTAACTTGTTAAATATTTAAATTCTAATACCAATGTCCAGTCACCTTTGGTACCACTCAATTATAGTCTTCCTCTGTTCTCTCAGCTCCTTCCAGAGGACTGTGTGTGTAGGGTGTGAAGGATGGTCCATCCTCAGTTCAACTGAGGCTTCAGGAGAGCAAGCTGGACATTTTTATACTCATCTATTTTTTTATCTATTCCTATTTTTTGGGGGGAAAAAAGTGTGGGTTCATGGTTGGTATTTTGCCTGTAAAATAACTCCTTCTACAACCGCTATTCTGTGTCACATAGCCAGTTGTGATAACTTGGCAGACAGGCCATACCCACCAGGCTTCGCTGGCATTAGTGACTGCTTTTTCAGACAGTGACTGAATAGGTTTTTATTTAGGCTAGAAAGGTAAAATAATAAATTAATTGATAAGAAACTGTATCTAGAGAATAATGTACACACCTAGCTCAATGGTCAATTTTCAATAGATAATTAAAAATGCCAGTCTCGTTCTGCTCAGCAAGCCTCGGTTTCTAGAGAAAAGATCCCAGTTGGTAAAACCAAGACTGTGGTCTGATTCCTTTGGCTCTACTCTCTATGTGTGTTCGGTGTGGGCCCATAGCCCCTTTTATGTTTCTAATGAGCCTTTGCTTCTATTGAGCCATATGTGACCCAACACAAAATTATAAATCTGTGTGTGTGTGTCTGTGTTTGTGTGTGTGTCTGTGTCTCTGTGTGTGTATGTATGTGTGTGTTGTCTGTGTATGTGTGTATGTCTCTATGTGTGTCTGTGTGTATGTCTCTATGTGTGTCTCTGTGTGTGTCTCTGTGTATGTGTGTGTCTGTGTCTATGTCTGTGTGTGTTGTCTGTGTCTGTGTGTGTGTCTCTGTGTGTGTCTGTATGTGTGTCTCTCTGTGTGTGTGTCTGCATTATGTGTGGGGGGGTGGGGGGTATGAGTGTGTGTGTGTGTAAAACCCCATTTTGTGGTTCTGAAGAATGACATCTGTAGATGACAACAAAGGTCTCAACATCAACCCAGTTATAAGGTGTCAACTAACCAGGCCACAGATAAGGGTTAGCGGAGCTCTCTTTTGTCTACTTTCACTGTACATTTTCAGATTTTGTTTTCTGTATTGGGTCAGATAAGGTTGCCTGATCTGGGTGTGGTAACCACACTACTTCCTTTCCTGTGTCTGTTTCTGTCATCAAAGCTCAGCCCGTTGCCGACCTGTGGTCGCTCTTGCTCAGTATCACTGACCCCATTTGAATCACTTCAATAAAAGGTCACTCCATTCACCAAGAGCCTACCAATCACTGCCCAGACCAGCCAGTCTTGCTTTCTTCTTCTTCTTCTTCTTCTTCTTCTTCTTCTTCTTCTTCTTCTTCTTCTTCTTCTTCTTCTTCTTCTTCTTCTTCTTTTCTTCAACTTCTTCTTCACCTTCTTCAACTTCTTCTTCCTCTTCCTCTTCTTCTTTTCTTTTCCTTCTCCTCCTCCTCCTCCTTCTTCTTCTTTTCTTCTCCTCCTCCTTCTCCTCCCCTCCTCCTCCTCCTCCTCCTCCTCCTCCTCCTCCTCCTCCTCCTCCTTCTTCTTCTTCTTCTCCTTTTTTTTATGATGGATACCCCAGGTTCTTTGTGCAGAAAGTCTGCTCTCTGGACTCAGGGACTGCAAGAGCTCCCAAGAGGAAACAAAGCGTCCTATGTTTGTGCTGGTTCCAAGCTTCCATGCACACCCTGCTTCCTTCAGAGCCTGATGCTGAGTCACTGTGAGCCCTGCTTTCCCAGCTGCAGCTTTTTAGCACACATCCCGGAACCCTCTCCACCCACCAGGCAGGATGTATAAACAGGGATCTATAGAAATGAAACTCAGCAATTCCGAACAGTTCTTCCATCTGGTCCCAAACAGCAAGTCTGTCCCATAGAAATCTGAAGCAAAGGAGGGGCACAATCACCATCATTAGTCACCAACATTTATTGAGATTACTGATATTTTTAGATCGTTCTGTAAGGGAGGGTGCAGAGATGTCACTGTACTCGAGATTCCGAGCCAGCCAGAGATGTGCATGTACAAACCACATGTGCCTATGTGAACTCACATTTCTTCTCTACCTCTCTCTATCAGAGTCCAGTTCACTCAAGAACACTGTCCTGTCCAGTGTCTTTGTAGTTCAGTGCTTACAAGTGCTTACACACAGGCTTGGCGCCCAAGATCTCACACATGCCTGCATGTTCACACACATTAATTAATTGAAATTGCATTTAGGGTCCTAAGAGATGAGCAACAAGTAACATGCCAGCTTTTCCAAATTCTAAAATGGGACCCTCCCAAACAAGGTGGCAGTCAGTGCTGGGAAATCCTTCTGAATGCAATGCCCACCCCTGGACCACACCGAGGAGTTCATTTCTCCAGCCTACAGCAGCCTTTCCCAACCTACTTTCTTCCCCCAATCCTGTCTCCCTTTGGAAGGGGTTAGGGGTAGATAGCTGTTAAGACTCCTGACAAAGCTTGATCCACCTCCTCCAATATCAGCCCTGTCCCTGGAGCAGGTAACCAAACTTTCTCTGCCCTGTTCTTCCACTTTCACAAACACTAGCCTAGACAGAGGTCCGTCAAGTGGTCTGCCAATTAACAACAAAGAGTATTTGCCCTCCAGTTTCAAATAAAGCGTTTCCACAGTTCCATGTGAGGCTACATTAGAATGGCTTTAACATACGGAATTTTCCAGCACTCCTAATCTTAGTACATGTTCACTAACACGATGCAAACCTTTTCCCAACCAGCTCTCATATGCCCTTCAGTGCAGTACTGTCTTTTCTTTAGTATCTGTTCATCTTGAAGTCAACCTGATGGGATCTAGGATCATCATGGAAACAAACCTCTGGACACATCTGAAAGAGAGCTTCTGAACTATGTTCATTCAAGTGGGAAGGCCTGT